TAAATCAACTTCTAAAGATTTCGTTATCACAGTTTAGTCAATAAAAATTATAGGTACTCACAAAACAGGTGTATCCAAAATAATGGTATTACGCCCTCAATAAGGCACTTGACTTCGGTCCGTATAACAGGTAGTTGGGATGACACCCACAAAGAATTGCGGTCTTCCTAACGTAATCCCTTAGATGGTCTTAGGCCAACGAAAAGTACAGGTAGTACAGATAGTTGACTGATGATCGAGGTGAACGAACGGTGTAGAATCTCAACGGGGTAGAGTAGAATATGAACGGTAAAATCTAAACGGTGTAGAGTAGAATATGAACGGTAAAATTTGAACGATGTAGCGTAGAATATGAACGGTAAAATCTGAACGGTGTAAGACCCGAACGGCAAACAGAAGTGACTTCAATTGGAAGATGTCTCTTTGACAAAAGAGAAAATAATTAATATAAGACACACTGTGTAAAGATAAATAAGGGTGAATTGAAAATCCACTTACCGCCGATTGTCGAAGATAAGACCGCTTGCCACAGGAACCAACTTAGAAATGAACATCAGATTGTGAACTTAGAAGGGCTTAGACAAGCGAAGGTTGAAAATTGGGAGGGGATATTGGCTGAATGATGCCATGCGAAATTGACATTAAATTGCTGGGCTACTGGGGTTCATTTTTGTAGCTTTTACCAATGGAAAGTAACTTTCTACGAAAAACAACTCTTCTGTTTTTCTAAGAAGGCAGCTCGGAGATCTCACAATAGAGACCTTTTTCCTTTGTTATTAGGAGAGATTTTTATGTACCAAAACAAGATAAAAAGAAGAGAGGAGCATTTGGCGAAGTTATTTCTTTGATTCTTTGTTAAACAAAAGGCGTAACGAATTGCTCGAAAGTGTCGGTTATTTAGAAGATATGCAGGCATGGGCTTCGTGAAAATAATTTACTAAAGGGAATAATTTAAAGAAATTATGAACATGCTTCAACATTCATAGTTCTTTTTCGTGTTCTACATTTTATTACGTTTTGCATTACATTTTAGTTTTTGATTATATTGTAGCGAATTTCGGTAACCACATGATTTTAATTTATTTTATCTTAATTAATCTTAATAAACTTGAAAGCGACAACATTTTTGAATGCAAAATGAAAAAACCTTTCAAACAATATATCACAAGTCTATACTTCCTATTTTAAAAATTGGGGGTTGTACCTGTCATTCTAAAGGGATTGAAGGTAGGGGTTCCATTTTCACGTTAAAGAATGTCAAGTTATAATTTAAATTTGACGTGTTTCGGGATTTTTTATAAATATGTACAGTAACCTAAATAATAAATTTATTCCATTTGGCTTTTACACACTGTATATTAGAAAATTAATTAATTTTATCAGAATTAAAAAAAAACAAAGTAACATAGAATTTTGTGTTTAAGTTATCTGGATAATTTTAATTACAGAAGCCAAATTATTAATTATATTTTTTTTTTATTATATGTCAGGGTTTTTATTTGAGTTATAGTTTTTGTCTAGTTGTCAATAATAAACAGGAGTAGAGGGAAATAACTAAAATTCAAATTTGTTCAATACAGTTAAATACAGTGAACGGCTAAATTATGGAATATTATCATTATTTCGAGAACTGTCGAGTTTTTAGGAAAATCCCGAAACACGTCGATTTTTGTTATAAAATACCCATCTTATTCACCGGTGTGAGTGTAGTGACGTAATCGTTAATTTTTTAAATAGAAATCGGTATAATACGACACCTCATTTGAAGGAGAATAAAATTATCTATTTAACGACATTACAGTTTTAACTAAAATATTTTTTAAGGGTATAAAAACAATTTTTTTTAATTTAAATTCTACTAAATTACAACTACGGAGTTGAGGCATGGACTCTTAAACAGAGGAATATTAAAAATCTTGAAAGCTTTGAGATGTGGTGCTACCGCCGCATACTAAGAATAAGTTGGGTGGATAAAATTACAAAAGAAGAGATAATACGCAGAATAAATAACGATCCAGAAGTTATCATGAATATAAAAAGAGAAAACTTGAATACTTAGGCCACCTGATGAGAGGACAAAAGTACACGTTCCTACAAAATATAATGCAAGGAAAGATCCAAGGGCGCAGAAATCCAGGCCGTAGAAGAATGTCCTGGATGAGAAATTTAAGAGTGGTTTGGCTGTACCACTAACGAATTATTCAAAATAGCAGTTAATAAAATTAGAATCGCCATAATGATATCCAATCTCCGATGGGAGAGGCACTCAAAGAAGAAGAAGAAGAAATTACAACTAATGATTTAATTAATAATGTACTGTAACCAAATTATGCATAATAATTATTTTAAATTAAATGTTCGAAATACCATCCATCGGTTTCTTGACAATATGCGGACACATTCATAAAGTACATTGCGGACGGCTTCGGGAGTAATTAGACTCATTTCATGCCTAATTAATTCTGTCTTTCAAGTCCTGTAAGTTTTGGGGTAAACTTACAGGACTTTGCGTTTTTTGACATAAACTTTTGATTTTATGTAACCCCACAGGAAAAGGTCTAGAGCTGTTAGATCTGGCGACCTTGCTGGCCACTCTATAAAACTTCGTCGTCCGATCCACCTCCTGGGAAAGCAATGATTTAAAAATTGACGTACTTCACGTGCGTAATGCGAAGGGGCTCCATCTTGTTGAAACCATATATTTTAACTAGGTAAATTTGGATTATTGGCATTTGGATACATGTTAGCAAGGCAGGTATAAGTTGATTTCTCAAAATAACTTTCTCCTGTTAGATTTTCTTCAAAGAAAAAAGGGTCAATGATTATGTCATTATTGATCCCTGCCCATACATTTACTTTCTGATGATATTGCGTGTGTGACTCAGTCACCCAATGTGGGTTTTCTTGCCTCCAATATCTGCAATTTTGACGATTCACGGTACCATGTATAAAAAAGTGTGGCTTCATCGGAAACAAGGATTTGATTGATGAAATGTGTATTGCGGATACATAAATCCTGCATAATTTAAAAAAGTTGAAGCCGGCGATCGGGATTGTCGTCGTTTAATTCCTGATGTAGTTAAATTTTGTAGGGATGGTATTTTTCTTTTTTTTAAATACGTAATACCGATCGTCGGAAAACTCCAGCATATTCACCCATTTGTGTTGAACTACTGTGAGGATTGTCATGTACATTATATAATGTGCGCAGCCCTAAAGTTAAATTAGCGTTGACAAATAACAGATACTATTTTACAGAAGGTTAACAAAGAAAGTTTATACAAATTAATTTAACTTTATCGGTTCGTTTTAAAACGTTATACCTCTGTAATATTGTTCTCAAAAACCTGTTAACTTTCAATTATTTTAACTCTAAAATATCCTTGATGTTCTTTTATCAAAACTCTAGCCAAAGTTCATTCATTTGTTCTGCTTAGACGGAATCAAATGTCCTAACAATCCTTTCCTTCCTATCTCTTTTGGCTACCAAAATGTCCTTGTCTATGACTCTCCCGATGAATGGTAAACATATTTCTACTTGTAAATACTGAAAATTTCAAATACTGCAAACTTCTCCAATCAGAATTCCTACTGCAGAAACTACTACCACTTTTTAACATCTTACTCACAAAATTATTTTTACACCGTTTAAAAAAACTGCCGTTGCTAGTTCACTTCTCAAGATTTGATGTTCTTCTTAATAAGGTCAGCAACAGATAACCTTCTCTTAAAAATTTTCATCAAAATCAAAATTCTCCGTCCTCTCCCTCTTTTCAACAAATCTTCTGTTAGTCCTTCAAAATCGCCCAAAGTCCCGAGTTCTCAAGAAATGACTTTCAACTTTCCCATTTTTGTTTTCGATAAACAAAACTTAGACGTTCATAATTAGCTTTCTACAAATTTCCCAGAGTTTTTAAAACCAATAAGAATCACAATAGAGAACTTTAATCGCTTATATTTTGTTGATTTAAAACGTCAATGATTTTCCCATCATATTTTCTAACGAAAGATATTTGTTTATTATACGTTTTTTTTAATCTAATACTATCCTAAATTTTAAATTTCACAAACATAAGTCTATAAGTCCAGATCACTTTTAACGCATACAAAAAAACACATATTTATGTGAATATAATTCATTCCTGTATTGTAATTTACATGTAGAAATAACCAATTGTTATTCTTTGTGAATAGCTAAATATCTGGCCTAGGACAAATGATACTCGAAGGGAAGATAGAGGGTAGGAGAGGTCTCGGACGTAAAAAAATGTCATGGCTGCGCAATATTCGACAATGGACAGGAATCCACAGCTATGAAATGCTTCGCAATGCTGCTAAAAACAGAATTATTTAATCCTAGAATATTTAACATCTCACCTGACAAGACGATGTACGGTGGACGCCTACGCAGAAATGCACGGCACCTTAAGAAGAAGAAGAAGAAGAAGGACAAATTCTTTAAACTTCATGTGATCGAATCGGTATCAATAGTGTGTTTTTAAGCTCGAAAAGTCCAATAAATATCTCCTAAAACTTGACCACTGCAGTGGTTAGCGTACAGAGGTGCCACCTGCTTGGTGGACATGAACGAAAACGATTTAATAATGTCATTTTCTGCCCCCTGGGGCCATACGAAATGTGTAAAAGATTAAATCTTTCAGCAAAAGCTGCTTTCACTTCGTTGAATTAAATACTCAAATATATGGTCTAGGAGGACAAATTCGTTCAACTTCCCGTGATGTAATCGGTATCAATATAGTGTTATGACTCATTTCACCATCCCTGCCTCATCAGACACTCGGGCTGATACAAATTCAAACTCGGAAACAATGACTAAAAAATTTACTGAAAACATAATCGTATCCATTCGTACTCATGTAATTTCTGTATTCTTTATTTTTTCTACATGCTACTGAAGTGTAAAAGTATTTCATCTTCAATTTTATTTATTTTTGTTTTTCTTATAACATTTTTATATTATAAATGTGTATTATTTGCAGGGCGGCGACCCAGTGGGATCAGGTGGCATGGACTGCCTGCAGCTGCGCCAACCAGCAGGCCCGTTTCATTACCTCATCAGCGAACAGGCCAAGTCTCTGGTCGCCCTCCAAGAACTTCAGCATGAGGTGGGGGCCCTCCTGGAGTTCCGCGATCTCGTTATCGAGACTTTTCCAAACCTCCGAAGTAAGATGGCGTCCTCCACCCCGGCGACGATGACGTCACACCATTCGAACATTCCCGTATCGATAAGGCCAGGGGATTGGACACCGGGGATAAGAGTTAGAAAGAAAATCGGCAGTAAGGATGATAGGAAGAAAGGAGGGGATACAGCTGTGCAAGATTCGGGATTCAGTACCGAAACTTCAAGCAAGGAAACACATAGCGCTTCATCTACTGCGTTGGCAACATCTTCATCTGCAGCTGGTGAGTTAAATAATACAATAAATAATACAATAATACAATAATATTTAGTAGAGCTCGTATTTCTAATGCCTTTATAGTGTCAAATGTATCAAACAGAAAAAGGCTAGCTATGGCAGAATTTTAAAACTCTTTTATAGTACATAACTGTCTTTAGTTTTGTACAGTGATGCATTCTGCACTAAATTAATCTTTACTTTTGATGAACCTCGTCCACGTCGTCTTTTTTCAATGTGAATATTCTACGTTCTTAAGACGCAATTTCGGCTAAATAAAATAAACATTTAAATTTTTGTTTATTATACTGTTCTTCTTCGAAGATTTGTCATCGTCCTCATCATTCTGGATTTACAACCCTGCGTGGGCCTCCTCAAGAATTTTTCTTCAGTTGTCTCTATCCATCGCCTTCGTCTGCCAATCACATATTCCCATATTTCTCATGTCTTCATCGATCCTTGTTCTGGTTCTTCCTTTTCTTCTCTGACCAATGGATCTATCAAGGAGCGTTTTTCTAGCTGAGTTATTTTGTTCCATCCGCATTACATGCGCTATCCACCTCATGTCCTATCTTCCTATCTTAATAAAATATGTTTTACGATATCTGATTCCTGATATATTCTATAAAGTTCCAAGTTGTATCGTCTTCTCCACACTCCATTGTTATGAACTGCTCCATAGATTCGCCTTATTACTTTTCTTTCGAAACATCCTAACATGTTTTCATTACATTGCATTTGAAGATTTGTAAAAATATCAAATACACGTATATTTGAAATACGTGAACATGTGAATTCTTTAGATCATTGTAGTGTACCCGTAAGTCATGCAAATGGACAGATCTTCTGGGCACAATATTAAAATATCAACGGTTATGACGTTTATATACGTGTTGCCTTACCTTAAATATTTCATATAGCAGTTTCCCTATAGTTATAGAAACTTACGTAATTTCGTCTTTATTATATTCATTTTGTTATAATATTTACATAAGTATTAACTCTTCGTTTCACTTTACATTTATATTTTTATGTATAATGCAATAAGAATGTAAATATTTATTTGTTACAGGTGCAATAGAGACTGACGAAGTCGAAGACGAACTTTGGAACCTTCTAGACATCATTCACCGCAAAGGAACCCGTTTAAAAGATGAAGCCGAAGTTCTTCAAGGCACTCTCCGCGAACAAGCTATGCATAAAGACGAACAAGATGGAGGCGGTTCGTTTCAGCAAGTTATTTTTTCTTCCTCTTGTCCGACATCATCAACAGACGTACGAAAACTGCGCCAGGAGCGTGATCTTCTGCTGGATCGATTGGCAGAGATGGAGGCTGAAGTGCTGGCCGGGAGAGTGCATACTTCTAGATTGCAAGAGGATTTAGCGCATTTGTTGACGACGAAGCATGATTTGGAGGAGCAGCTCAAGGCGGTTGTTACACAAAGAGGTAAGGCACATTAGTGGTTGCTTCAGAAAAACGCAATTCCACTAAACGATGTCAAGTTATTTTTAAGATACGATACATCGTCAACTATTCTTAAAATTAACAATGACACTGATAGAATTCTCTGTCGTTTTAACTATTTCAAATAGCTCTAGGCTACTACAGGTTCCTATCATATCTCATATTTATAGCAAATCATTAACGTGTTTTTATATTTCCATTAAGCTAGCTGGGACACATGAGCTGGTAATCCAATTTAAAATACGCCATACTTTTTCACCCATTCTTCACTACTTTATTAATATCCTAATAATGTTTCACATGGAGCGATTTTGTTGACTTAAAGTTCAAGCTAGCAGAATAAAAAAAACTTTTTGACTATGACATATTTTTTACCCATTGTTCACTAATTAATTACAACGTAATAATAGTTCACCCTCAAAACTACCTCTAGTGGGAGCCATTCTGCTAGATTAATATTTGAAAAAGCAGAATTCAAAAAAAAAATTTTAACATACTTGGTTTTTACGAATTTATTAGCAGAAATACCCTAATGAATTAGTAACTTTGTTACTCATCTCATAACCCTTGTTGTCATGTTAAAAGCAGCAAAATAAAAAAGTCCTAGTTACACCGCGTAGATGAAAGAACGATCGGGGTCCTAATAATGCGATGGTGAACGCAGCTCAGTCAGGTAGCAATTATTAATTATTAATAAAATCTCTTTTCTTGTTCGACTCGTTTGGTATTTTGAAGAGTTGTTTCAGTTTAAAAAAGTATTATTAAGTAAAGTCTATTTTTGTGTTATAATGAATAGTGAGTTTGAAACTGATCAAAGTTCTAATAGAGATGGCGAAGTTGTCGATTCAAAAACAACAAAGAAGGGGAAAAGTTATGGCCGTGTGAAAGATATCATGAGACAAATAATTAGGCTAAATAGTCATACTGTAGGTGACGAGTGCGTGTGCCGCAGATTAAAATGCTTTGAAAATATTTCATTAGATAATAGACTAAAACTAATAAGAGAGTTTAAAGAACTGGATTCGTATGATAAACAAAATAGCTACTTGGGAGGTCTTGTTACGACTTTACCGATGCAAAGCCGTACGAGCAGAAAACCACATGAGGAGCCAAAGATTAACCAAAGTTCATTTGTGTACAGAATAAGAGTAAAAAGTAATGACAGTTTTCGTGACGTTCCCGTTTGCGCTTTTATTTCTGTTCACGGGATTACTTCTCGAAGAATTCAAAAAATTAGAGAATCATTGGCTTCTAATGGCACTCTAAAACCAGTTGGAAGGGGTAAGCATATTAAAAGGCCTCACCAATTAAGTAACGAAACTAAACGTTCTGTCAATTTATTTCTTCAATCCGTAAAGGATAGAAAGTCACATTATTCTCTAAGACACTGATAAATTATATTTACCTGAAGTTCTCAATATTCAAAAATTGTAGTCAATGTACAAAGGTTTGAATTCCAATAACAATGTTTCCTATGACACGTTTAGAAGAATTTTTAATAAAGACTGTAATTTCTTATTTGGTTAGCCACAGAAAGATACATGTAATACATGTGACTATAACAAGTCAAAAAGGCTTCATTCTAGTGCTACTGCAACTGTGGAGGTGTTTCAAAAGTTAACCTTGAAAAAGACTTGAATAAGTTGTTTAGTAAGGAAAATCTCGATTTGCGTAAGGGTGCTGCATTTTATAACTCAATACACCAGAAGAACTTGCATATTCCCAACATCACTACATACGATGTTTATTACAAGCGACAATTAAATTTTGTCACATTTAACATTCATGTTTTTTCTGATCAAACATGTGTGTTTTATACATACCAGGAAAGTGTTGCTAAGAAGAGATCTGTATGCTCGATGATTGACTATATTGTGACTTCCATTCTGCCTACGACTGTTCGTAATCCTGCAATATTTTGCGATAGTTGTGCTGGTCAAAACAAAGACTATAATACAGCGATACGTTATCTGTATCAAAAACGATTTGACAGTGTTAAAGTAATGTTTCCTAGTAGAGGTCACAGTTACTTGAATTATACAGTTACACAGTGTTACCGTGACATGAGTCATCAATCGAAAATCCTATGTCGAGGTTCAAGAGGAATGAAGAGAAGTTATAAGAAGTAGTCGTGTGAGTAATTGACTGTTAAAAAGGCATGTTCAAGTCTTGGACTATTTTTTTAAGCTCATGTACCAATTAAAGTGCTAATTCCGAGAAGGCCAATCAGATGTCTTTATAAAGATCTACTTCTTCTTTCAGTGCCCTGTCCGATTATCGTACGTTGGCGATCATATTGTCAATACTAACCTTATTCACGGCGGCTCTAAATAAATTAAAGGTGGTTTCTTGACACCATTAGCGGAGATTTCAGAGCCAGGATGTTCTTCGTCGGCCTGGGCCCTCTTCCGGAGATCTTACCCTTTATTATGAGGTGTAGAAGGTTATACCTCTCTGGATGTCTCATTACATGACCGAAATATTGTAACTTCCGAATTTTTATCGTTTTTGTTATTTCTGTGCTCTTTTTCATTCGATGTAAAACTATCTTTCTTTGGTAGTTATTACATACAATTAGTCATCCAATTACCAATAAATACAAGAAGAAAAGGATGAAGGACCATCAACAAGAGAACAACATTCCAACACAAAACTTCCAGCATCCATTTTTAATATTACCAATACATAGTTCTTTTAGGTTTTATATCACATAAGACATGGTGTAAAATTAAGGTTAAGTTTTTTGAAGAGAAATTAAATCTTATTTTTAAAGGATAAACTTTGTTTGTTGTCTCCTAACTAATTTTGCTAAATGGACTAAAACCGTTTTTCCCCTGACCCTTCAATTCTTTAACACTCAACGACCTGTTAGGAGCAGCCAATAATTCTTCTAGATTAATTTTGAGCTAACAAAACAAAATTAAAAAAGGTATTTTTGATAATTTTTCTGTATTGTCCTTTTACTTCAACGTTTTACGCTTTTAATTTGGAGGCATAAAGTTGTAGTTTTTCGTCTGGTATAAAAAAATGCATGTCTTTGCATTTCCAGAGTTGAAAATTAACTCTAGATGAATGATTCGCACTGTTTTGTACTATTAAAAATTACTTTAAAAATGTTGTACTTAGCATAAAAATAAATCAAAAAGAATTTTTCCTTATTTTTTTGATTAAAATCGAAGATCTGGGGCATCTTGAACGGATTTTTTGAGACTTACATTTTAGTCTATACCCTTACTCGATTCTCGTGAGAATTTTTTATTGCCCTAGGTTAGAAAAAGTAGCGTTTTTCTATGCGCTGATTCCGAATTTAATAATGAAAATTTTCAATTTTTCGGCGATCTAAAGTTTCAAACAATTCATTTTCATGCACGGACGCAGCAGGTGACCTATCATTGCGTTGTGATTGTATTTTCTTTCATTCTTCCATTCTATTTGTATTTCTTCCACATTGAATTTTAACCTAACAGAATTATTGACTTTCCATAATGGTAGTTTAGGTGTGAAGAATTACTAGGGTGGTAATACATTCGTAAAAACCTAGCAGAACACTGTGTGTGGTATTTCCAAAATATATTTTTTTTTAAATTCTGCTAGCTAGGCTAAATAGCGAAATCGCTCCATTAGGGGTGGGTTTGGGGGTGAAAAAATATTGGGATGGTAATATATAAATTAGATAAAAGTATGGCACAGGTTGCCTATTCCGTATGAGAGGGATAATACAATAGAATCGTCTTAGTAGTTTTAAGTGCCTGAAGGGCTCATAAATGGGCCCTGCCCTGATCTACCATAATCATGGCGTAGGATATATTGGATCCGCTCATGTTTCCCTCCTACATGAAAGAATAAAGAAAAAGGATCTTTAAAAAACAACGCGGATAAGTTCGAATCAGGTCCTTCACATAATCAAGACCAAATTGACGACATTAACAAAGATATAACCAAAAACCTCGAAAACCTCAAAAAAAAAAGAACTAATGAAGACAAAACAAGTAACGAAACTAAACACCTAATGAAGAAAGAAGACTACTAGAGGAAAACAAACGCCACACTCAAGCATACCTAGAACTTAATAAAACAATTAAAAAAGAACTAAAACGCTACATAAAAAATGGAACGAAAACTTAATAGAGCAAATCGTTGAAAACAACAGAGACCTAAAATGTTTATGACCAACACTGGGTGTCCAAAAAATCATTAAAATTAAAGACAGCAGTAATAAGGAGGAGAAGAACAAAAAATATAAAATAAAGATTATCGAAGACTTCTACAAAACCTTGTAGAGCTCGCAAAGCCAGCCTAATGAATAAAAAAAAAAACGTCAAAAGGAAAATAAAAAAACGTGGGGTCAGAAGTACTACCGAATATAGAGGGAATCGAAATAGAAAGAGCTAAAAAATAATAAAGGACACGACAGTATAATTGCCGAGCTCTTAAAAACAAGCAAGACAGTAACAATCTCTACAGGATGGTGAATCGTCAAACGGGCCATAGGAAACTCAATGGGAAATTCTAAGTTGTTGAATTCCTGCTTCCCTAATTATTTTACACCGAGAGTCATGGAAATCTATTTGTAGAGGACTCAAATATGTATCGAAAACAAATGTTAAAATTGTTCTACGATTTAAATGTATTCCAAAATTTTGCAAAAGTATAATACATTTTTCAGGCCACCTCTAAAAGTCAGGAGAGACGCCGTGAAAAAGTGTGTATTACGTGTTGCCTTGTTTCATATTGATGTTTCTGATATTTGACAATATTTATATCAAATATATTATATTTATCTATGATTTAAATAGACAACATTTTTATTTTGTTATCTACTGTTTTAAAAAAAATTAAGTTGAGTAAAAAATGTACTCAGTTAAGAAGAAAAGAGCAATAATAAAAATGTTTTATTCGTGTTTTATTATAATATTTTTTAGAATATATATATATATATATATATATATATATATATATATATATATATATATATATATATATATATATATATATTATATCGTTTTATGTTTAGAAATTATCATAAATTATTTTTAGGAATAAGGATCACAGTAACACTATATTGGAATTCATTAAATTGTTGTATAACTTGGAATTAAATTTTATTGTATTAGTTTAGCACTGGTAGTGCTTGCACCTTAGACAAAGAAAAGGTTCGCACTATTGCCTGAATACACTATTATGCGATTTTTCGTCAACTGAGTACATTTCATTATATTTATTGATTTGTAAACAATATAATTTATTGTTCACAAAGTAATATTTGTTGTTCAGTAGTAGTAGTATGTAGTAAAATTCATTGTTTGTAATTTAATCATAAAATAAAAAAATTGACAATTCAAATATTGTCGAACATCTGAATCGTAACTTTAAGGGGTGGCCTGAAGAATGTATTATATTTTTGCAAAATTTTGAGGTACCTTTAATTCGTAGAACGGTTTTAACATTTGTTTTTAATTCAGATTTTAGTCCTCTACAAATCGTTTTTTATGGCATTTGATCTAAAATAATTAGGGAAGCAGCAATTCAACAATTTAAAATTTCCCATTGAGTTTCCTATGGCCCGTTTGACGATTCACTACCCGGTATACTAACAGAGCTATTTAATATATGTCTCCATAATAGCAAAATCCCTAAAGACCGGAACGAGTGTCTAGTAGTACTCTTACACACAAAAGGTTACAAATGTGACCTAAAGAATTGTAGACCTATATCATTGCTCAGTCAATTATACAAACTGTTTATGAGAATTATTAACAATCGGTTGACTTAATAGATAATTACTAGCTGGTTGAACAGGCTGGCTTTCGCAAAGGACATAGTAGGTCAGACCTGCTGGCCACGAGAACACTGATAGAGAAGGCAAATGAGTATCAACTACATGTATTTCTTGCCTTCATAGACTATGAAAAGGCATTTGATAGTATCGAGATGTGGGTTATAGAACAAGCTATTAATAACTGTAGAATAGATTCGAGATATAAAGACCACATATGAGATGGGTGGACTACATCAAAAGAATAGCTGGAACGAATTGAAAGTATGTTGCTCAGGATAAAGATCGACAGAAGGAGTTGGTAGAGGTCTATGTCCAAAAATTGGCTAATTGGTCTATGGCTAAAAATAAGAAGAAGAAGCCCCCCCTACCTTAAGGGTCTTTTTTTTGCATTTGTCCAGCAATATTTAAATGAACTTTTTTGTCTATTTCTACCTTTAGACCGTATCATTCTCTTACCGGTATCACTCAACTTTTTAAAAATATTTCTTCTAATTAACTCATCCTTTATTTGATCTAATACTTTCTTTAATTGCTCGATTGCCTGTATTTCTTATTCCTTTGTGAACATGTGAGCATTTGTATATTGTATGTATAGCATTTTTCATATAATGCTTTCACGTCATTCAAGATTTACGACGTCAGAACCCCACAGCATTGCCCAAATATCATTATAGTTAGTGAGGAATTTTTAAAATGTCAACTATTTGTCAAACTATTATATTAACAGTAAATACACTTAGTTTTAGGACTACTGCAACACACTAAAATACATAAGAAAACATTTTAATACAAAATTATATATTCTAAATTTTAAATTTACCTCTTTTAGGGCTTTAATAGTAAAAACGTCCCGCCATTATTTCTCGTTCAAAATAATCTATCTTATATGAAAGCTTGTCAGCTTTCTACAGAATATTTATTTGTTTTTTCATTGCACAATCACAATAAACAACAATAATTAGTTTTAAAAGCTATTAATCTAAATTTAATATGTATTTATAAATACAATGTATTAATATGTATTATATTATAATAAATATGATAAAATTGTGTAGGAAATCAAAACATAAACAAAATTCTTACTCTAAAAAAGCGGCAACACTTCATACAATTTTGTCACACGCTGAACTGTCAATAAAATTTGAAGTACCTATTCCCGTATAAGTTGCGTACAATTGTCTAATCTATTTAATTAAAATTATCATTTTGTGGAATATTATACTTAAAGAGTTTTTTCATAATGGTTTTGGTTATTTAATAGAATTTCCCAATATAATGATGATTACATTTTTCTGATTATTACACCATGTAGACGCCTATAAAAGATCGAGCAGTTCCTTATGGGTTTCGTGTTATTAGCTTTGTTAGGAACATTTGAACTCTAAGGTTGACGTTCTGGAAATTTTAAATATAAGTGACGTCACTTTATATAAATTGTGACGTGCAAACATTTTTATATGAAAAATGCTATATACCAGTTTTTCCCATTCTCTAGAGGTTAAGTTCTTCTGCAAACTTTGATTTTGTTGTTTCCTATTTCCAGTTATATTAACTTCTTTATGTTTGAATTATTTTGTATATCGTTAAATTTCTGTTCTAGGTGAAGTGAATTCGCGTATTCACGATTTACATCTTCAATTTGTGACTAAAAGTGGAACCGTTTCTCCGTCGGAAAGTAGCAAACTCCGTAGAGACTCGACGTCATCGACGACGGCGATATCTAGTCATCAACGGACAAGTCAAAACAGTGTTTGTGATCTTGACTCAGTGCTCAGTGATAAAATACCAAAAGTAGCAGTGCCGGATACGAAAAAAATACGCGCCATTTTGAAAGAACACGATTCTTTGGTGCTGCAAAAGCATCTGTTGACGTCTACAGTACGAAATCAGGTAAGGTGTTTGTAGTAATATTTACGACGTAGGAAATTCTTAATGTAGTCGCATATTCGTAAAAAGTCTATAGTGGAACTATCCATTTATAGAATTTCTACAAATATGCGCCTAGTGTCGACTAGTCGAATAGTGTAAAGAACATTACACTATTATTTTATGAGTAAAAGTATAAAAACTTCGGTTTTCTTATTGGCATGTTTAACTTTTAAAATTATCCAAAAAAATTAGTTGAAGGATCAAAACGTTTTTGGTCTTATAAGACCATCATCATTGATTCTTGATTAACACGTGCAAATAGCCTTTATAAAGAGGTTTAAAAACGTTTATTTTACAAGTTGGCTATTGCTAATCTAGTCAGTCCCACTAATTGTCGACATTTTCGAGTAAACGGTTCAAAATGTTCTTTTAAAGAAAGAAACTAAAACAAAGCTTTTTAGACCTCTTTAAAACTGGATATTTGCGCGTGTTAATTAAGATTTATTAATGATGTTCTCATTACCAAAAACGTTAAGATATTTCCACTAATCCTTTTTAGTTTAAATATACTAATTCAAGAGTGGATATTAGCAAGAGCCAAAGTCCCAAAAACAAAGTTTTGAGATAATCTAAAAAAACAGTATAAAGATCCAAAAACATTACTGACAAAAACTTTATTTCGTATATACGTATGGCACATATTTATAGAGTCATGTCATTTATGGGGAAAATTAGCCATTGCACTACCACGCTGCGGGATATATCGGGATGTGGTAAGGATTGGAAAATGGGTAGGGTGATAGGTTGGAGACCTGGCCTCTCCTAAAGGCTTAGACATAGGAGAAAGTCAGTAGCTAGCGTACGGCAGGGACGCCACTCCCTTTAGCAGCCTGTCCTCTACCGGGCTGGTAGAGGAGTGCTACCAGCTATCTATTCTATAAAGTGTCAAAAACAATTGGTCCTAAAATTAACACCTCATAGACAAAATTTATGGCCAACCTTGTAGTCAACGGTAAAATTCTGATTGAGAGCCATAGCATCGACCAAGTAATAGCTTACAAATATCTAGGGCATGAGATTCGCTTAGGCCGAGATAATCAGACAACTGAAATACAAAGAAGGATAGGTCTCACATGGGCTGCCTTTGGTAGATTGAATAACATTTTCAAGTCTAGTAGTTCGTTTAAAAAGAAAGGTTTTTAACCAGTGTGTTTTACTGGTTCTTACATATGGTGCAGAAACACTGATTCTGACAAAAATAACAATAGATAAAATAAGAGTTACACAACGCGCTATGGAAAGATCAATATTAGGTATTACCATCAGAGATAAAGTACCAAACCTAGAAATAAGAAGAAATACAGGAGTCACAGATGCAGTTGAAAAAATAGCCATGGCTAAATACGCTTGGGCCAGACATGTTGCCAGATTAACGGATGATAGATGGACCAGAAAGATTCTGGAATGGCTACCAAGGCAAGATGCATATCGAAGCAGAGGACGACCACCGACTAGATGGACGGATGATGTCAAGCGCATCACCACAAACTGGATGCAAGAAGCTCAAAATAGGAATAGGTGGAACATTTTACGAGAGGCCTACGTTCAGCAGTGGACAAATATAGACTAATTGATAATGACATATTTATATTTAACATAAAATGGCAAATCTATCCTAAAAAAGCTTATCGCAAAAGTAACTTCCTATTTTTCTTGTTTTTTATCAAGCATCTTCTTCAAACGAAAGCAGCTGTTTGTATAAAAGTGGGAGTTCTACAATCATGCTTGTAAGGGACTTCTTTTTATTTTCTGACACTCTATTGTCGGGTGTCAGTTTAACTATATCAGCTTGTTTAAATTCAGCTTAAGTTTTCCCTTTCTTTAAAATGTTAACCTGTATCGGTTCTTAAAGATCAGAAAACGAAGTTTTGATTATTATAGATGTAGCTTTGCTAATTTTCATGTTAACATGCTGCTCGTTTTAAGCCTTAAAATCCATAACTTGTCATGCCAACAATATTAAAAGGTGGATAATATCTTGCGGTCTTAACTACTTACTGCCTTTCATTTTTCATTTAATGCAAATTCTGGGTCACATGGCATAAAGCTGTGACCGCACGAACTGTTGCTCAGTAATCTGAAAAATGCCGTTAGCTACCAAGAACATTAATGTAAATAGTAAAATTATATTTTTATTGTGCGATCCGCACATTACAACCTAATACCAAGTGCTTCTCTAAAGTCAGACCACGATTAACAAGCTAGAGAAGACATGAGGTAATTTCGTTGGCTCCATGATAAGCCACTTCCTCTTGCCACATACACATATAGGCCTCATTCTTATCACTTACTTGAAGTTTTAACAAGATATCTGTGGGAGATAGAACATATCGCTATGGGTTGCTATGGCACAAACTGCTGGGGATTTACAGATAAACAATACTTTGTGGTTTCAGGATATTGAGAGTCGATGGTACTTTGCTTTGACAACGCTTTAGCCCTCTCGGCCTTACTGTGATGAAGCTCTAGCTGAGTTATGGCAGATGCATTTGACCCATTTTTGGCTTTAATTTGACAATGGAATGTGTCACATGTACTGCACTTATGAATTCGTGATCTGTGGAACGGCAGGCTAGGGAAATCCTTGAGGAAAAGAGACATAAAAAACTTATGTGACTGTTGAATCTGGGTCTGTTTTGCAAAAAAGCTTTGAACAATCTGTGAATATATAAATCAGAGCTAATGTATTCCTTTGCGTAAGCTCTTGAATAATTACCAATATCCCATAGGATCATGTTTTATGTGGTTTTTTACCATTAAACCATCAAATTAAGAAAACTTTGGAGCAGCATGTCTCATATATTTATCAGTATAATATGTGTCACCCAACTTTTTCTTCTGGACCATCACATCATCATCATCTTTGGCTCGACAATCCTCTGTGGATCTTGGCCTGCTCTAAGATTCGTCGCTATTCTGTTCGGTTTTTGGCAACATGTTGCCATCTTCTGATTTTTAATATTCGTAAGTCGGTTTCTACTCCATCTAACCACCTAATTCGCGGTCGGCCTTTGCTTCTTTTTCCTACAGGTGTTCCTGTGGTTAGCTTTTTAGCAATGGTATTTTCTTGCATTCGTATTATGTGTCCAGCCCATCTAAGTCGCTGTGTTTTAATGAACGTTATAGCATCTGGCTCATTAAAGAGCTGATACAATTCAAAATTATATCTTCTGCGCCACTGCCCTTGGTCGTTTACAGCTCCAAATATTTTGCGGAGTATTTTACGCTCAAATATTCCCAAAAGTCTTTCATCTTTCTGCGTTAGAGTCCATGTTTCTGCTCCATATGTGAGGACCGGCCTCAGCAATGTTTTGTATATAATAATTTTAGTTCTTCCTTGAATGTTTCTTGAGTGGAAATGCTTTTGGAGTCCATAATATGCCCTATTTGTAAGATTAATTCGTCTTTTGATTCTGGACCATCACACGCAGTCTTTTATCATTAACATCAAAAGTATCTTAAAAGATTTTCTTTCATACCCTCACAAACTACCATTGAAAATGACGTCGGCTCTCTTGCTTAGACTCATACAAACCATATCGTCTTCTTTGAACACCGAAAATACTTAAATTCACTTTAGAAAAATAGGTACGTTGTATTTTAGCATTTTCTTGGTGGAACTCTTCAAAAAGAGAACGTCTCCTTTCATACGTAATATGTTTACAGTTCAACTTGCATTTACAGACAACCTGCAAAAAACACACGAAGTTTTAATGGGAAATCATTAGGTTTGTATTTAAAACCTGTTCCTTGAGATATTTTTTTGGAGTTACTTCAGTAAGTTTGTATGTTTTGTATGACGCTCCAACTGATGTTAAGCGTTTCTGCTTACTGCCAAGTGAACCACTGTCTTTAGGTCTTTTTTTTCTGATTTTCTTCCATTTTAATACAATCAACTATTATCACTCACAACAAAAACACAAAGCTGACATATGCAAATGTTAAGAAATACAGTTGGATTCTGTACAGTTGGACTTACATAGTGAAAAATAGTGCCTTACATACAGCTACTGACATCTATGAGAAGCTCCTGAAACTCTAATTTTTATGCTGGCACTTGGAACCTCTTTTAAGACGACACGCGGGGACTTTAGAACATTTCTACGTCAATAACTCACTTCGGCACAATGGCACTTTGGCTTTTCTAACTTCCACTCTTCAATTACAAAAAAAAATTATACTTAATTTTTTTTTTCTAATTAAGTATGGTATAAGTACAGTCAATCACGGAGAATTTTTCCTTAATGATTTTTTATTAGGCAGTGTTTTATGTATTATACGTACATCTTTTAGGCTTTTTCTTCAGTATAATTTTTCCTAACAGTGTTTCCTAACAAATTTTTTCCGTAGTTATAGATTTCAAAGAGGTCGTTTGATCTTGCAAATCTTTTTGCACAATAATCTAAAGATATTTTGTATACTTATACACCACATCTACGTTTTATTCCAAGTTGATGTTGGTTGTTACTGTTTTAATGATAAATCCTCAAATTCAATTTGAAATATATTTTGCTTCTTTTTGCTTTTATTGTTATTGAACAACCAACGGCACAATATTTAATCAGGGCTTAATAAATTCTTAGTTTGATTATTTGTGACTCTGAATTATGTCGATTGTATGAGGCAATATGCGGCGATGTGGCTTGGCCTATGAGATTATTCATATCACCAGATATCATATGTCGAGACATAGTGAAAGTACAAAAGATACTGAAAGGACAGGTAAGAATAGAATAGGTATTTGTCTCGCATGGATAGAGACGCTACCATACCTGTGGATTCTAAGAATACTATACACGATAACATACACATTGAACGACGTGAATCCTTCACTATATTGTTAATTCGATCAGGTCATTAGGATCAGGATTAGCTACTACCGCTCAGTGGAGGCTAAAATATTTAAAATATTGGTACAAACGTAAATTGGTTAAAAATCCACCTTTTTATGTCTTTTACTT